TGCAGTTTGCTCTACATCTTGGCAGTCTGCGGAAGCTTGGGCAGCCAGGAGTTAAGACTGCGACGCGGCGACACTTGCCTTTGCTCGTGCTTTTTGCCGAGACCTGTGGCACCAGCTGCCGGGATCGCAACGTCCCACAATGTGACACCTCCTGTGACGTCGTCTTGCCCAGGACCACTTTAGTTGTAGGGGCGAGATGACACGGTAAACGCACCAGTCAAAGACGCGTCCCGAGCACCAGATAGTCTCCGCACTGATACCCTAAAGTGGAATTCGACAGACACTGTCACCAACAAGGCACATTACCTCAAAGTATATGGCACGTGGCGATGCTTTAATGAATAGCCCTAATCTTCTAAATGATTGTTTATACTGGAAGAATTTTGGAGCTCGGGGAACCCCTTAGGTTACCGTATGGAACACCCAAGTTCCTAGGAACCCAGTTTGAGAACACGTAAGCTAAGAACCAAGCATTATGTCTCTACTATAGTCAGGTTCACGTTAAGAGTGTTCTAGAAGGGCATTCTTAACTTGTACTATAGCTGACTACTAATGTGATCACAGATTTTCCACCCTCTTAATTAAGACAGTAGCCAATTGGTGTTGATGTTTCTAACCTCTTCATCTTTATTTTTGTTGCATTTATTTTTCAACATGGTACACTTTGCTGAGATCACATGTGTGACTCATTGCTAGCATGAAGTACTTAGCCAAATAGTTTTTATCAATCTTTCTGGCTCTCTTTTTTTGTTTTGTGAAGTGGATTTTTCTGTTAGATTATAATAATATTTCAGAAATGTATATACTACTTTGTTCCACTGCAATTGTGAAAAAAGCATAGCAACATACTTGGTTGAATCCCTTCACAAATCTTATGGACGTCGACCGGTCTGTTCAACATACCGTGAAAGTCTCTATATTATAGGCAAAAGTAGGGTGCATAGACACAGCAGCCGTAGGATGATAAAAATAAAAATCTAATGTAATGACGAAAAAAGTCACAAGAAAAGAGTCAAGTGCCGAAAATGAAGTATATTGGTTTACAAGAATGATCAAGGCTAGGCACAAGAACACTAGTTACGCAGGGAAAAAAAGCTTTACAAAGGACGGAATAAAACTAAAAGTGAAACACAAGAACTTACAAAAATAAATTGTTAAATAAAATATAAAAATTAAGAATAAAATAAGAAAGGGGCCTACTATCTGTCAACGTTTTGACAGTGGCACTATCTTCTTCAGGAAGGGAGCCACATGGCGCAGTAGGTTAGTTTCATACAAAATCTAGGGGGAGGGTGTTGTTGATGTGAAAGTTCGAAGGGGCTTAGGGAAAGGGAAGCGCAGAAGGGATGAGTCCACTTTATATATGTATATATATATATATATGTATACACACACACTCACACACGTGCACACACACACACACACACACACACACACACACACACACACACACACACACACACACACACACACACACACACACACACACACACACACACACACACACACACACACACACACACACACACACACACACACACACACACACACACACACACACACACACATTCAACGACTAAAAGAACATTCCACTGCATATTCAGTACTATCTCACTCAATACGAGCAACTGAAACTTCATGGCATTGGTTTCATGAGGAAAATTGCACAATCACAGCATTTTAACATGCATGGCACGTTATTCCCGCAAGTGTAGAACTGATAGTGGGAGGCACTATGAATTCATGGGTGGTGGCAAAGTGGAATTGTTTTGACAAAGGGCATTTTGTTTTCAGCTTCTCTCTTATCATAATGCAGTTAATTCATTGTGTTTTCTACTAAGAAAGCAGGTACATCAGTCTTATATCTAATGACTGTTTGTAATCTTACAAGTTACAACTTTAGAAGCACCAGCACCAAGAAAAGCATGGACCGTTGACTCAACGTTCCCTAGATACGAAGACCGTGTTGCTGGATTTTTTTTATGTCAGCGATTGGAGGACAGCTGCAGGACACAAATTAGACCCGGATCCCAGCTGAACGCTGATGTAGCACTGTGTCCAATCCGTGCTGAGCATTGACCTGTAGTAGGTGACGTAGCAAATCCAAGGCTACTGCCTCGTCATCTAAACGGTGATGGTTTTATTATTCACATTTATTTATTTACAAAAATACTTGCTTTGCTCTTAGACATTATTGCAGGGGGTGAGATTTACAAAGTGTCCATGAAACACACCATCATACGTTTCAAACACAACCACCGAAATATTTGGTTATACATAGGGATGGGCGAATATTCGGTTATTACAAATAGCCCATCGAATTCTCTTCTATTCGGCATTCGCTTCGAATCGAATTTAAGTATTCGACAATATTGAATTATTCGACAATATAGCTAGGATTATTCTACCTTTCTAAATACTGTCAAACCCGACTATATCGAACCCGTCTACATCGAATTATTTCTTATATCGAGAAATTTTTGTGCGCAGTAATGTTAGTGATAATATATAGCAAAAACTATGGTTGCATAGAACAAAAATAGCAGCCGCTACCAATATATCTAACTGCCAAGAGCGCCGTTTTGCTCTGCGAGCTGGCTTCCCCCAACGCGAGCGGTCGCATTGGGGGAAAGCCAGCTTGCAAAGCATGCTGTCTTTTTTTTTTTTTTTTCCCCGGGCGGTTGCGTTGGTTGCAGGGAAGAAAAGAAAATGTACCTTTTGGGGAGGGGGAGGGGGGGGGGGGGGAGAGGGAGCGAGCGGGAGCAGAGAGAGGATCCCTCTCCCCACTCCGTCCACAAAAGAGAATATTATTTTTTCTTCCAAGCAATTGACGCTGCCACCCATAAAAAAAAAGCCAGTGTGTTTTGCTAGCTGGCTTCCCTCAACGCAGCCACCTGTTGTAGGGGAAAGCCAACTTGCAGGGCAAAACGGCACTCTGCAGGAGAAGGTGCACTCACTCGGACGTGCTCCGTGCTCTCGGCATAGTTCAGCGCTAATGTGCGAATATAAAGGCAGCAGCCTCAGCATTTTGGAGTCCGTCGGTAGCGTAGAAAAATAATGTTATCGCGGTTGCGATGAAGAAAGAGCAGCAGAAGATGCAAGACTACTTCATTGTGTAATATTTCAGCAGAAAGTGGATTTTTTAAAGTCAAATTCATTAAAACTTTTATATCGAATTACCCGCTATATTGAACTGGTAGTCTTTTTTTGCGAGTTCGATATAAACGGGTTTAACTTACTCTGGCTTGGATCTCCAGCCAGGTGGCGCAAGCTTCCAACCATTTTGACCATTTCGTGCTCCCGAACTCAAAACATTTGAAATTAACAATTACAGTACTTTTAATACCAAATAAGGGCAAATATAAAACTATAGTTTAAACATATCTTGTGGTATTTGTTGCTTGTACTATTCAAACTATTCATGTCGAAATTATTCTAATTGAATAGTTCGAATAATCCTCTATTTGTCAAAATCCTCTATTCGCCCATGCCTAGAACTCATACATCAAATCCTATTTATACATCAAAACCTATGCACTTTTCTGGAAATTTGTCTAAAATACATCTCTAGGCAACCCATTCCAATCTTGTACAGTTCTCGGAAAACAAGAAAATGCAAAGACATTGGTACGACATGAGTAGGGTTGGATTTTGTTTTGGTGATCAGCTCTTTCCGATATATAAAATTGTTTCTGTAAAAATATGTTCCTCTCGATTAGAATTTTATTGTTATGAATGTTATCTAAGAACTTCAACCAAAAAGTCTTTTGGCATTCACTAAGTAATTCCCCATGTAGGTCTCCTGCCATGCTGGTGACACTTGCTCCAAATTCGTAGTTATTTAGCACAAATCTAGTGCACTGGTTTCATGCTTATTCAAGTTTGTCTATTAATAGATTATGGTGTGGATCCCAGATGACTGATGCGTGCTCAATGCATGGGCGAATGAACGCAAAATTCAGTGTCTTTAATTTCTCTTGAAGTCTGTCGAAAGTTTCGTCGTGTAAAATTAAGCATTCGAATTGCTTTGAGAGTTATCATCTTAACATCTCCTTATGAATATCCAAAGAGTAGAACCTCCAAGTACATTACGGTTAAACAAACCTTAATTGCATCATTGTTTACTATGTATATTAGTCTTGTGTGAATAGTGGATATTGAGTTCAAAGCGAATAGTGGTTTTGGCCGAACATTTTTTATTCAAATATCAAATGGTTTTTCCGTGCCTTTCGCTACCATTGCATAATGCTTAGACGAAAACCCAGCTAAACCTGTGAAGGTTATTCCACTTGTTCGTTTTATAAGCCAAGTATATTCTATCTATATTTATGATGTCAAAACGTCTGATGTCTTGGGATGGCAAGTAAACGACGGATTTGACATGAAATGAATCCTAATTTACAAATATTGCTGTATAAAATATTTTTTACCTCAAGTTAACAAAGATTGAATTGCGCATGATGAACACAGGTTGTAAAGAGCATCTCTGCCTAGAATAGTATACTCTTGCATAAAAGTTTAATTTTGAGACTTTTATTACAATGTAGATATACATCATTCACAAAGTTTCCATTTATTTTCAAATACAGTCGGCACGGGTGCACCATCCCACTTTGAATGTATGCTTTTCTTCCGGGCACGCAATTACGATATTGTTTATCACGCGGGTTACCCCGATAAGTGCGCTTCGTACCGAGCACCGATGTAATGCGGAGAAGCAACTCCCGCGAAGCTCACTTCCGCGGGTTTTGCTTCTCCGCAGCGCACCGGTGCTTGGTAAGAAGCACACTCAATGGGGCTAACCCGCCGCAATAAACACTTTGAAAAACGTGAATAGTGCACTTCTTTTCGAAGCGAATATCGAATAGTGTATTTTTCGGAACTACTATTCTAAATTTCGAATATTTGTACAACCCTACTATGTATAGAGAAGCAATAGAGATGTATAGAGAAGCAAGGGGACTCGAACAATGTGTGAAGAACTGCGCCAGTATTGATGCATGAGTTTGCCCCACCTGATCTCGTCTCTGCTCTTCCCGCAGCCCTGCCCGTACTGCCGCAAGGTGTTCCTCAGCCTCCCCTACCTCCAGGCGCATGTGGTTCGCAGACACCCCGACCGACCCGCCCCCACCGAAGAGGCACTTCTGGCCCAGTGGGAGCGCACTGCCACCGAGTCGTACCCCTGGGACAACTACAACCAGTGCCCTCACTCCGTACACTCCACCCAGCTGCAGAAGGACATTCAGGAACTCCGGAGTTTCTTCCAAGTGAACACTGCCAGTACCGAGGTATGCTCTCTTCACGCGTATCAATGTACGGAAACAAATGATAAGGATGGCGGGTTACCATTGCATTAGTATGGTGAGTTTCTATCATCACAAAATGTTACCTTCCTCACCATTTTTTTTTTATTAGATGGGCTTTCCGTGAGAAGGCGATGCAGCGATTTTATATTCCTTCGTGAAGCTTTTCACAGCGAGGTGAATTTGGTGGGTTTATTATGGTTCATAGATGTTCCACACTCAATCTTTGGGCCAGCGGGGATGTATCAACTTTTTGTCCATCTTGTATATCCTTTGTGTCCTCTTCATTGAGGATTCAAATGGACTTTAATAATGTGCATGAGCATAACCTTAAATATTCTCTTTTGCCTCTAGGAGTTTGTGTTATATGTCTTCCACCTAAACGTTGCATTGTATTTTATTCGTTATATATTTTTATGTATTTTGTTTATATTGTGGCCTGTTTTTCAATACATGGAAGTATTTTAGTTATGTTATATGCAACATGGTGCAGCCAAACTGTTGTTTGTGGGCACAAAAAACGAAGAATTATTAATATTATGTTTTCTTTCTTAGTTTCTATGTTTTTACTTTGTGGGCAATAAGACATTCACATATAAATGAATTATGTGAAATCAAAGAATGACAGTGGAACCTCACTTGTACATTTTTTGATGGATCGTGTTGGAAAATGTAACAACCGATACAATGCTTGGGAAAGCTCATAAAGAAGTATGGGAAGCATTCTTTCACAGCTATCTACTCCTCTACAGCTTTCATGACTGACTACAATATATCTTCAAATATAGCTTTTTTTTGTTTGCTTTCAAGCATGTCCTTTAAGATTAGGGGTTCGTCTCTAATCATAATTTGTCGATCTATAAAAGTGAGCAAAATATCCGAGCCTATCAAGCTAACCCAGGTGCTTCTCTGCCTCAGCCACTGCTCCGAGCACACTGGTGCTAAGCAGTGAAGCTTGGCATGCTTTAACTTTTCTTGAGCTGCAGTGTGACACACATCCTTCAAAGCTTTATTTGAATTTGCTGTGCTGCTCTTTCTTGTTAGTGTAGATAAAAAGTTCTCAAGTATTTTTGTTTCAGGTATGGCACTTAATGGCAAATTTGATGCCAAATCGCCTCTGTAACCATGACTAACATTTTGTTTCTGCAGACTCAAAACATGGCCCAGCAGTCTGCAGACTTAGATCTCAAGGGGGGTATGTCAGAAGGGCAGCAGCCTTCGCAAGAGGCATGTATATGATTCTATTATTTCCCACTGTTAAGCTGACTATTTTCTTTTAACCCCTTTCTCATTACTTCCCATAAAATCATTATCACAAACGTTTAATTCTCTATTCCAAACATTTGAGGCTCATTCAAGATGTGCTTGAATTATGTATACATATGCACATACACATGTCACAATTTAGTGACAGTGATGCACAAAAACGTTTTTTGATTTGAGATAAACTTGAAGAAAAAATTGCCCTAAAATAGTTTTATAATTAGCATTTATCTGAAGAACTACAGTGGGGATAATATCTTTTTTCCATACCTCATGGTGGTGGGTGTCAAGCTGTGTGTTACATGTACTGTTTAAACATCTGTAAAGTGACATGAAGTGCTACATAGCCAGCATATGCCTTCACCCAGTTAGTATGTACCATGTTGCTTTTTATAAAAACTGTAAATGACAATATACTCATGAGCTTGATATTGCCATGCGTCCGAGCAAGCGTGCCCAAGGCCGAATGGTTATCGGGCTTGGCTCCCACGCAAAGGGCCGAGGTTCAATGCCTAGCCGCGGATGCACCTGTTTGTTGTTTCTGTAAATGTTACGTTCTGGTGAATTCCAGAATCCTGTTGCTTGTTCGAGGTCCGAATGTTCTACGCCGATTGTTCCAGAAGCCCACACGTGTACATAAGGGGCTCCCCATGGCGAGCTGCGGTCAATCTCGCCCCAGTGCTCGATCCTGGTGTTTCGCCGACATCGAAGCCTGCGACGCTAGCCTTCTTCTATTTTGTTTGGGGAACAAGTTCGCCTCATGAAACATTTGGTTTCCTACAGTCATTCGTCGCCTCATCAATTGTCATTTGTGGCAATATTGAACTATTAAAACTAGCTATTTTGTGTACCTATCACAAAATAAAACAAAAAAGAAATGTTAATGCCTTAATATTAAGGTGATCAGACATCCCATTTTTGGGCGGGACAGTCCCGTCCTAAAGGTTCATTAACATTGTCCCATCATTTTGCCTCAGAAAAGCCTCATGTCCTGTTTTCGTAGGAACATGTATGTATTTATTCAAAGAAAAGTCATCCTTTTTTTTGGAAATGTTGTCAAAAATTAAGGGCAATGTTATCAAAAATTAAGGGTGACCAGAAAATTTCGACCTTCATTCGTGACCAAAGTTTGCGACCCTACCAAGCGCATGGAGCTAACAAGTCACCTAGCCGGCCTCGTACACAAGGGGGGAAGGGGGACATGACGCACCCCACACCTTGCCCCCTCCCCTCCCTCCATCCCTCTCCCCCTGGCAGATGGGCAGCAAAACAAAGTACAGAGGTTTCGCTTCTTGTTGCTCACGGCGGCTAGCTGTGGCTCACAGCGGTACTTGCTTCATTATATTTGGTCTTTCGTCGCTTCGCCCGTCTCCATCTTCTTTTGTTTCTTGTGTCCATTTTGCAACGGTTTCAGTGAGGTATTGTTGCGAATTTGTGAGGATGTCAACGAAGCTGACGAAGCTTCCAACGATGGTGACATGTCCGAAAGTTCTTACGATGATTAAGATTTTGGCATCGTGATTTGGCATTGTGATTTGGCGCTGTGATTTAGCTGAGAGCGCTGTAAATAAAGGTTTGCTTTATTCTTTTGCGCAAACTTTCGTCTGTTAATTAAAAAAAAAGAAAGAAAAGGTCAACTTATATTTCTTTTTTTATTTTTTTTTTATTCTTAGCGAGTTTAATATAAAGCCACCAACCTATACTTGTTGTCGACTTATATTCGAGTAAATACCGTTGAGAAATCGGTACTAAGTGAATCGAACAAAACCGAAAAAATGTGTATTTCCTGAGATATAATTTGATAAAAATACATACAGTACTATGAAAATGTTAGCTCCCATACAGCAGAATTTTCAGCTCTTTCCCTCGTTACATCTGCCAACAAATCTGCCAGATTTTTCTTGTAGCACTACTGAATTTGACATATTAGTTTGGCAACAATGATACTGATGAAAGTCACTTGTCCGACTCCGGAACAATGTGTGTTTCTCTAACGGACAAAGTAGCTTACCGCACCAAAATGCAAAATCTTGTGCCCTCGAAATGCTATATCCCAAAACCCACACTCTGCCAAATCCTCAAGATATATTGAGCCAATGAAAATACAGTCATTCACGGTATGTAAAGTGAAAAATTAAAAATATTAATTGTAGACACGAAAACTGATAAATATAAAAAATTAAAATAAAAGTTGCATATGAATTAAGTCAAAAATTAGTCAAAACATTCACTTCCTCAGAGGAAACAGCCCCCCCCCCCCCCCCCCCCCCCCCAAAAAAAAAGTTACATAGTTTATGTCAATTTTTTGTTCGTTTTTCTTTCCATCTTTAAGGTGTCCTGTCAAGCATTATTGCCTTTAAAACTTTAGTCACTGCATTTGTAGCCGCCTCAGCTTCTTGGTAGGTTTTCCACGGGCCGAGGAGCCGTTGAAGTTACAAGGGTCGTCCGAAAGGTTTGCTGCTTGGACCATATAGTGGCCCATTCCTTGTCATAGATTGTGCACTCGCATAAGAGACCATATGTTTGTTTCTTCATTTCTTAGGGCATAAGCAGAGAAGAGCTGGTGACCAGGCTAGACCGTCTCCAGCGGAACTGCGACCTGCTCTTCGTCAAGAATGCATCGGCCTGCACCGACGGCTGCTTTCACGATGACGGGCAGGTGACCGCACAAGCCTCGTCTGCGGCAGTGCGCTGTTCCACGGCTGACGTGGGCATGGCTCCCTGGGGAGACCGGGCTGGCTTGGAGAGGCTGTCCCAACAGCTGCAGCACCAGAAGCAAGAGGTGTGAATGAGCTCTGGACAGCAGTGGAGACACTTTCATGACTACGGTTTGCAGGCACCGCTAGTGGCATATTCTTTGTCCCAGAGGCCATTGTGCCTCCAAGTCAACACAGAATCTGTTATTGGGCTGGGTTTCGTAAGAAAAGTTGCAAGTCACGCTCAAGAGTGGCACACAGGACAAGGTTATGTAAGCACTTTAAAAGGACTATATTGCTTGTATGACCTTGGTGACAGTCATGTGACACTATGAGGACACATGACATCATGTCTGAACTGAATGCCTAAAAGACAAGGACAAGAGGAAGAAGAGGCAACACGTTGGCGAGTATGCCGTGTTGTCTCTTCTTCCTCTTGTCCTTGCTTTTCAGGCGTTCAGTTCAGATGGAAAACCAACTAGCCCAACTTATTATTTTGATGCATCATAGCATCATGCCTGCGTAGGCGAAAAGTTTTCAATTTTTCGGGGTATGAGGGGGTGCACTTACTCCGCCTCACCCCCATGCACTCGACCCAAAAAAGGCTCCCTTGGGGGGGGAGACGGGGGGGGGGCTCAGATTCCCAAGCCCACCCGTAGTTGGCACTTATATAACATCATGTCACATACGCAGCATGTAACCAGCTCATTTGCAGCCACACAGTCCACCTCCGAGTTGATCAGATATGATCAAGGCACGCTTAATTTTTTGTCTGCTGTGTACCGTTCAGATTCGCTTGTTGAAGTGTGTGCAGCTGAAATATGATCCGAGGTCGGCCATCAGCAACTGATAGCCAGCCCACTGGCGTCCCTTTAATATAGGTGGGCAGAATCTTGGCTCAGCAAGAGCGGCTTTTCCTCAAGCGCTTGGATGCCATGTCCCAAAACCTTGCCTTACTGTCCAAGGTAGGCATTCATTTCCTTCATTTCAAATAAAAATGCCCTCCAAACCTAAAAATATTATTTTAAAATGAAAAAAAATAGCTCTGTTGGTTTTTAGCTCTGTTGTGGTGCTGAAAGCCCATTCTGCAGCTTAACACATACGGTGGCCGAGTGGGCTAAAGAGCACACTCAGCTCGACGCGCGTGGAGCGAAAGCTTGCACTGCAGACCCAGGGATCCTGGGTTCAAGCCCTCCCTGTTTTGATCTGGATGAGCATCAATGCGAGCATCGTACCAGCGTGCGGGTCGTGTATCACTACTGCGTGAGCACGTTAAAGACCCCATGTTAGCAGTCATACTGCACTGGCAAAAATTGCTCATCTACAGTGTAAACCAGTGTCGCCCCCACTGGCAGACCAACCTTACGCTGTATAAATCACTAAAACGTCCAATTTGACTTTTGACTTTGATCAGTTATTGGCGATTTGTTGCCTGATTGGCATGTGTTAATTTGTCAGGATTGACCAAGGTGGTTTTAGAAAGTTCAATACTTATGCACTTCACAACAATTGCAATCAATGCAGAATATAGGTCAATCGTTTTTTAATGAAGCATCTAACTTTCTGCAGAGTACATGGAGAGCATATGATTCTGATTTACAAAAACGTGAATGACCAGGCAGTGGTAAGACTAGGGCTAAAAAATATTACAGTAATCCCTCATTATAACGAAGTCAAACGGGACAGCAAAAAGAATTTGATACTTATAAGCGGCAATTCAATAAAAGCAAAAGAGTTTTAAAAAAAAGAACAGTGCCAGCAGTCTTGAAGGTGGACGGGAAAACTGCGGAAACACTCTGGCCATCTATTTAATCAAACAAAACCTTAGTTTGTCTGAGTGAGAGGTCTTTAAAAAAACATTGTAGAGACCTCTCACTGTACCCATAGTGACCTAGATAATACAGTTAATGGTTTCCCCTGCCGAAGAAGTGTCTCCCTTTCCATTGCAAGGAAGCGGATATCTCCGTCATCCCCGCTGGTGTTCTCGTAGCTGCCACAGTGTGGTGAATATTTGTGGTGCTTTGGAGGGGGTGGGTGCTTAACATGTGATCAGAATTCCAAAGTTTTGGAAATGATAGTGGGCGCTTGTCTGAAAGTGGGCGCTTCCCCAGTGTTTTACGGTACTCTATTAGTGCTGCAATTTCAAGCATGTGAACATCATTCTCAATATCCCAACACAGGCCGTGGCTTTCGATCAAAGCATTGTTGGTGTCTCATCATTCACTATGGCTTCTTTCAAAATGCCTATGACCTTCCACGCACTCTGTGGGAAAATTGATTTGTAGTATTTGTTCATACGAAATTTGAGTTATATTTTTATAGTAGTAATAAAACAAACACTGTAGTCGTTCGTGATGTACTGTATCCTATATTTCTGTACGGCTCGTACAGCATGACTGGCTGTCACGCATTGCTTGTTCGTAGCTTCATGCAAATCAGTGTCTTGTGATTTACTATAAACCTGTACTTGTGGGGAGTCTACATCACAAATCCTATACAGATTTCACATTGCTCTCCTTGTGTCTGTGTTCACCAAAATTTTTGAGCTCTTGCTACGGTTGTGTGCAATCAATCAATCAACACCCGTGTTTGCAGGCCAGCAGGACCATGGAACACAAGCTGTCTCAGATAGAGGGTCCCCAGGGAGCGCCACAGTTTCTGGGGCCTAGCTTGAATGGCCGAATGTCGTGCACTGTTGGTGCCAGGAGGCAATCCAAGACAGTGCTCCTGAACAGGACCCTCCTAGACAGGACGGACTTCTCTTGTCCCACAAACGGCCCTATCAGGCCAACCTGGCCCCTACTCGGAGGCCTCCAGAGCATCGCCCCTCAGGTTTCCTCAGGTGCGATAGAAAACAAATGTTAAAAAAATACATAGTGCAATGCATGCCAACCATAAAATTTTCCTCGATTTCGATGATTACTAGTTAGATGGAGTTCTGATGATCATGACGTGTAACATATCTCAGCTTCTTGTCAGAACGAGCTGTGAAATGTTCATTATAACTTGCAGCGCGACTGAGACAAGGACAGACAGAGGAGAAAAACACAGGCAAGTGCTGAACTAGCAACTGATT